TTAAAAAAATTTTTTCCATTTTTTTTTTTTTTAAAAAAAGAAGTATTGTAAATTATATATATATAAAAAAAAATTTTGAAGTGAACAAAAAAATTATTCAAGCAAAAATAAAAAATTCTTGAGTTAATGATATAAATGAAAAGAAAAATTTTATAAAATTTTAAGAATTTTAAATAAAACTTAAATTTTGTTTTTAACGAAGAAATCTAAACATGTCAATCTAAATAATGTTAAACTTGAACTAACTTGAACAGTGGAATTTACTTGATTTTAATAAAAATAGATTTGAAAAGAAAAACTTGAAGAAAAATATTGAAAGATTATAAATTTTCTCAAGCGAAAGTTAAATAATTTCGTATTCGAAATCCCACCGCTGCCACCAGAGTTCTTTATGTTATGTCCAAGGGCGTTTTTAGAGCGGTAGCGTAAACGGTGGAGGTTTGGACAAACAGTTTAAAGAATACGCAACGGAGTTTTTAATTCCGTTGTTTTAATTATTTATATGGGACGTTTTCGATGTACGAATTTACCACATCTTCGTTTGAGACTGAGCACGGATTTTTATTGAGTATAGATGTACTTACTACTTGCAGGATTATTTCTGATTACCGGATCCGCGATTCCGGGGCTGCTGTTAGCGCCTTTTCCTTGAATGGGCCCTCTGGTTGGTCCTTGCAGTGGATGGAATTGGATGGATTTGGGCTGCTTATTTTAAGGGCTTCTTATTTTATGAAATTAACAAACTCGAACGAATTTTCACTTCTTTTGATATTTATTTTTATAAACACTAAAACTTTTACACTTTCACAAATTTTATTTAACGTAATTTATTTATTTGAATTTTATTTATTTGAGCTAACGTCCTCCAGTCCCCCGTGGGGTAAAGTGCGCAAATTTAGCTTTTTCAGAGATTTTAATTATTTACTGACCGGATTCTCGTCTAAGTGCAGAACAAATTAGAACTTTGAGAATCTGGTTCTCTAAAATTTACTTATTGGTCGTATTCTCGCCTAAGTGCAGAGCAAATTAGAACTTTGAGATTACGGCTCTCT